TGCTTGGGATCCCAGCACTGGGGAGGCAGAGAGACAGGAGGAACTTCTGGGCTCGCCTGCCAGCTAATCTAGCTGAGTATGGTGAACTTTAGCTGCAAAGAGAGAGGTTGTCTCAAAATATCTCTCCTCTTTTGGAAAACAAAATTAAAAACCTTTATGGATTGCTTTGTACCTTCTGATAAGGATCTTAGTGTGCCCTCTTGACCCCCTGCCATCCCACCCTTAGCCTGTCTTTTCTATGGGCATTCCTGGTACAAATCCTGCCACCAAGCCACAGCTGCTCCCTGGAGATCCTTGCCAGTGTCCTGCTTGGTCTCTGTTTGCATTTCTCTTGTTTTGATAACCTGCATTTGGGTGAGTGAAACTAAGCAAGGTTCTCATCTTTGTGTATTTGTGAGCTTCCAATGAAGTGCAAGTCCCCCTCCCACAAAGGCCTCTGATTTCATGCCCACTCTTCTTTGATCTCTGAATCCTTCAATATTCTGCATTCCCATGGCGTGTTTCATATAGCTCAGGGGTGCCTGAGGGAGGTACATCAGTCTCCAGCTTAGTATCTCCAGTGATAAGCAACACCATGCCTGGAAAATGAGCTGTGCTTACTAAATATATAAATAATGACTTAAAATCATGTATAAATGAGAAAATTAGTATTTTCGGTTTGAGTTCTGACTGATTAAAACTTATTGGGCTGGTGAGATGGCTCAGAGGTTAAGTGCACTGACTTCTCTTCCAGAGGTCCTGAGTTCAATTCCCAGCAGCCACATGGTGGTTCACAACCCTCTGTAATGAGATATGGCACCCTCTTTTGACCTTCAGGCATACATGCAGGCAGAACACTGTACAATAAATAAATAAATAAGGAAAAAAAAAAAAAAGAACGAACCCAGGTCTCATGCACTCCACTATTGAGCCATATCCTCAGCTTTCAGATTGTTCTGATGTTTAAAGTCCAAATCTGTGATGGACAAGTTCAGTGTCCTGTGGTAATGGAAGGCTGCCTTTTAGTGTTGGCTCCACAACTCAAGTTGACGTAGTTGGCTTCTGCCAGCCTAAATATGCCTTCAACTCTATGCAGTTGTTAAAGCTAGGTTGCAGTTAGCTTAAAAATGTTTTGGGAGCCATCGGAATGGCTCTGATGGTAAAATGCTTGCCACCTTAGCCTGACAACCTGAGTTCAATCCCCAGAGTCTGTGTAAGAGATGGAAGGAGAGAACTGACTCCACAGACCTTTCCTCTGCCCTTGCACACATGATAATAATAAATAAATACAGGTAATATTTTTCTCCTAAAACTTATAAAAATGCCATTTCAGACTAAATATCAAAAATTTCTTAAGTTATAAACTCAATGGGTGCGAAATACTTACATATCAAACAACAGAAAATACAAAGTATTTATTGGAAATGATGAAGTTGGAAATTGCAGTAATGAGAATATATTGCTGAATTTTTTTATTTGTTATTTAAATGCTGTTTTAGTGAGGCTAGATTTCTGAGAAAGCACGGATGTGAGAATGAAATGGAATAGTAATTATTAATATCAAGGATTAGAATAACAGGTGATGATGCACAGAAATTCATTTTTAGGAATAAGAATAACGAGATTACATTCAACAGTGGAGACAGCCAGTGTTTCCCCAGTGGGAATTATAACTGTGTTGTTTTTGCTTAGCATATCGGCGAAGTGACTAAAAATCAAAAACCTTGTACAGAACAAAAAGCTTAATGTTGGGTGAAAAATATTATTTGTAGAGAGTGGAGAGATGGCTCAGTGGTTAAGAGCTCTGGCTTCTCTTCCAGAGGACCTGGGTTCAATTCCCAGCACCACATGACAGCTCACAATTGTCTGTAACTCCAGTTCCAGGGAACTCAACACCCTCATATAGACATGCATTCAGGAAAAGCACCAATGCACATAAAATAAATAAAATAAAACATTATTTGCATTTGCCTCATACTGCTACATAACTTGAAAGGGGATTCTCTTAGTACCCTTTGCAGGTAGTTGTGGCTCTGTCGTGTGTCGTCTGGAAAGTCCGTAGTATTCACGAGAGAACAAGACTGAAAGACAGTGATACTCTAAGGAGGATGGAGATGATTTTGTTCTGTGAACTCCCTGAAATGCTTAAATACCTCTCAGGGGTGTCCTGGCCGTGCTTTGAGAGCTACTTTCTGAGCCTTGAGAGGCAAAACCAACCTAGAACTATTTTTTTTGTTGTTTTGTTTTTTTCAAGACAGGGTTTCTCTGTAGCTTTGGAGCTTGTCCTGGAACTAGTTCTTGTAGACCGGGCTAGCCTCGAACTTTCAGAGATCCACCTGCCTCTGCCTCCCAAGTGCTGGGATTAAAGGTGTGTGCCACCACCGCCTGGCCCAACCTAGAACTATTAAGTGTGCTCCTCATCACAGGCCTGGTGTGAGGCAGAGCAAAGCGCCAGGACTGTACTCTTGAGAGTTTATTTCTCTGGCTTTTTGTGAACTTTTAGGACCTGGGGAAGCTTTGGAGATTGAACTGTGTGTATTTATGAGGGTCTGCTAGATACACATTTGATATTGCCAATTAAAAATATGGTAAATCAAAACTTTGGGGAAAATAGCATTACTATTATGAGTGAGTTTGTAAGAATGTGATAGTTAACAAATATATAACAGAATTGTAAGCATTAAATTTGCAATAGAAGATAAGATACATTTTAAGTTTTGTTAGCCCTACCTGGGATTCAGGGATTGAACTAAAGCTGCCAAGCCTGTATGGTAAGTAGCTTCACCAGCTGAGCACCTTTTGGTGACTGGGTCTTTCTATGAAGGCCAGGCTGGCCATGAACTGGGATTGCAGGTATGCATCCCAGTGACTACCACAGTTACCTGAAATATGCTTTGGGCTTAATTTTGGTTGTTGTTGTTTTTTTTCCCATGTCTATTGTAGAGGTATTTCTGAATCTTACCCCTCAGCCATATTGGGTCCTTTTCACTTTTCAATGTTGTCTCTTCATTCCTCCCAGATCTACCTGGATCTCAGAGACAGCAAGAACTCATGTGTCTTAGAGAGAGTGTGCACTGGATAACATTTTTGTGGAGTTTCTGAGCAGACCTCTCTCTTTCCTGGCCAGCAGTGGCAGTGGGGTGGAGAGGCTGTGGGAATGACACCTCTTGCTCACTTCTACTTCTTCACGCTCCACCTTGATGTCCTAGGCCTGTCTTCCCTTCAGTGTGAGCTGCTTTTTCTTTCCCACCCGGCCTCTACTTTGCCTTCCTTTTCTATTTACCTTGTAGTTTCTTCTTCAGAGATATATGCCCTCGGCCAGAGTGACTTCCAGTTAATGTACTCTGGGGTCAAGATATTCATAGTTGCCAAAAGGCCCAGGAGTGAATGTGTGCTTTTGTGTTTGGTATGACAGGAGTGGAGTCCTGTGGGCAGATGGCACAGTGGACGATCCTGGCCTCTTCTATCTTAAGCTCCGTGGGGTCACCACTTCTTGCTTGGGAGGAAGTAGGATGAAACTGTGTCATGTTTTTGCTTTGCCCTACCTACTGTACCCCATCTTCATGTGCAGTGTCCTTTTTTTTTTTTTTATTCGGGTGCTGGAGCTCACACTCAGGACCTTGCACATATAGACAAGTGCTGTATCACCGAGCTATACTTCCAGTCTCCACCTCTCCTTCACATGGCTGGACCAGGGCTTGGAAAAATCTCCTTCAGGGTTGTATAACTTCTGTGTGTTGCTCTTTGTCTCTGTTTTTTTTTCTTTTTAAACAATTGTGTGTGTGTGTGTGTGTGTGTGTGTGCGTGTGTGTGCATGCGCGTGCAGGAATACTTGCCCATGCCATGGCATTCATGTAGAGGTCAGCATACAGCTTTACATGCGTTCTGGTATCAAACTCAGGTCTCCGAGCTTGCTGGAGGAGCGCCTTTCCTGAAGAGCCATCTCACTGGCCCTTGTTCTGTTTGAGACTGGCTCTCGTCTTATATGAATCAGGCTGATGTGAAACTTGTGATCCTCCTGCCTCAGACTTCCAGCTGCTGGAATTATAGGTGTTGTCACCCCTCCTGGATTTCCGCTGTCCCTCCAAGTGCTGTTTGCTGTGGCTCTATGAGTGTGTGTTATCGCTGCAGACTTCCTGTTACGTTGCATGGCACTGCGTCCAGTCCCTTTTCCTCTAGAACTGGATAGGTATTTTGTGGCTTAGAAGAAATAAAAGGAAAATTTATTAATTGGAAATATTGTTTCAGATTTGTTCTATCTGCATCATGTAACTATACTGTTATCTTGTCTCTAGACTATTTTCTGGTTGTCTGTATGGAGCATGACGCTATCAGTGGTCCACATAGTGGCAGCTCTCTGTTGAAAGAGAAAAATGCAACCTCGTGGGAGAAGAGTGCAGATATATGTGTCTTACCTTGCTTTGTTATTTATTCCAACAGTTACTTGTTATTTATTTTATTTTTATTATTTTATGTGTATGGGTGTTTTGCCTGTATGTATGTAAAGCCATGTGTGAGTCCAGCTACTCAACAGTTATTTATTAAATGCCAACCGTGTACCAGACACTGCTGAGAATGCTGAAAATTTGGTTCCTAACCAGGCATCCTTAGTTTCTGTTGCTGTAGATGTTTTATTATCAGGGATATGATGTCTGTCTCCCTCACAGGACAACAGGCTTGGTGATTGGAAGAACACTGGGCTCTGGCTGTCTGTGGTTTGGATTGAACGTGACCAGACATTTAAATGCTTTGCTCCTTTTTCTTACTCTCAGTGGAGGATGTCAAGACACTAACAGCTACTTTTAGAGGTGGAATCATGCCTGTAGATTTCATGCATTTTCAATAGAAGTAGTGTGTGTATATTAAAATGTGTGTAATCATGAGTGTGATAATGTAAAATATTTCGCTGTAAAATCTTAGATGCAGTTCATTCCTACTTGGTTGGGAGAATCTTAAATTAATCTAGAGGTTTAAAGACACTTGCAAGATATAAAATGTATTTGTTTTTCCTCTCTTCACAGAAGAAGATAATGCTGAATATGTTTTTAGACACCATGATGGCGGATCCTCCTCCCCAGTGCCTTGTCTGGCTACCTCTCATGCACAGGCTTGCCCATGTGGAGAATGGTGAGCGTGGCTTGACCCTCTGTCCCTTAGGTCACAGGGAGGAGGAAGCAGTTTGCGGTATTCTGAGCTATTATTGTGAAAAATTAAAATTGACGTTTGCTGACACATCAGCAATTGAACTTGTGACTTTTGTTTTTGGAAGAAGAGTATTTATTTCATACCAAAACCAGGAGCCGTCACTTACATAGGATTCTGAGGAATAATAAAACCTGGTTGGTATGGGCACATTTTTTTTCACTCTGAGATTGCTTACATTTACCTGATATGGTCAGGAATTTCCTTTTTCTCCCCTTTCGGTTTATCAGAATCGTAGCTTTAGAAAATTGGAGAGTTCTGCAATATTAGCCACCAAAACTCTAGTCAAATTTGGGTCATTAAAACATTACTAAGATAAAATTCAGTTCTGGACCTCCTGTCTTCTTTTTTTCCCTTTTATTTTTACTTATTTGTTTTCTTGTTTGTTTGTGTGTAGTATTTGTGTGTACACTTAGCATGTGGAGGACATTGGGAGTCTTTCATTATCTTTTGAGATATACGCTCAGTGAAACCAGAACTTACCAACTGGCCAGATTTTGCTTTCCTTGGTGTTGATTCTATTATTTATCCCCTGTCCCTCTTCTTCCTGGTCACCAGTCTTCCACCCTGTGGAGTGCTCCTACTGTCACAGCGAGAGCATGATGGGCTTCCGGTACCGCTGCCAGCAGTGCCACAACTACCAGCTCTGCCAGAACTGCTTTTGGCGTGGCCATGCCAGTGGCACTCACAGCAACCAGCACCAGATGAAGGAGCATTCCTCTTGGGTAACTAACTGCTTGTCTCTGATTGTGTACTTTCAACTCTTTACCCTGGCTCGTGTGTAACAGTAAGAGTACTTGGTCTAGTGGCCTGCAGGTGCCCTGCCCAATGCGGATGTGGTGTTGGGAACTCTTTTTTTTTTTTTTTTTTTTTTTTTTTGGTGCCGTGACTCGGGTACGAACCGAGGTTGCTGCGGCCACAATGTTGGGAACTCTTCATGTCGGCATGACTGCTGGGGTTACATTATTGTTCCTCCCTGGACTGTAAAAGCAGACTTCAAATGTTCTGTGAGGCACAAGTGTTAACTGCATTTAAAATGGCCCTTTGCAAAGTAAAAAAGTAAATTTCTTCTGATCTGAAAAATTACAGAAAGGGGATCTTCCTAGAGATTATTCATTTGAGCCTTCAGTTGGGTTTAAAGCCCTTCTTTGATTAGTTTGCCTCGCAGGCTGATGTGTTTATATGCTGCAGAAAAAAGTGGCATGTAACACAGGAGTCACATATGTTTATCTTTTAGAGTGGAGAGAGACTGTGTTTTATAACCATTGCCACATTGCTCTTCTTACCTTCAAAAGCAGCTTTTAAATAGTACTTGGGTGATGGTCAAGCACGGTGGTGCACACCTTTAACCCCAGTACTGAGGGGGCAGAAGCAGAAAGGTCTCTGAGGTACAGTCTGGTCTACATAGTGAGATCCTGGCTTGAAACAAAGCAAAGAAAATAAAACAAGCAAAAAAGCCAACATTTGAGTTGAGATTGATATCTGCTCTTCCTGGTGTGTTTATAAATCATGTAATATGAATAATTGTTTTTCTTCATGTCTTTTGTTTATTTCTAATTTTGTTGGCCACTTGCTTAACTAAAGGGTAGAAGGCTACACAGAGCCAGAAGTATGGCTCCAGACTTGGGGTCTCACCCAGGTACCTACTGGACTGCAGATATTAAAAGGCCTTAATAACTGGGTTTTCTCACCCCTTTAGTTTTCCTAGAATTCAACCAAGGAAAAATAAATAAACCAACACCAGGGAATAGTCAAAGAAAGGAAAGAAAAGAAAACACCAAGTGTCAACCCCTGTACACACTTGACTGTATTGCTAGAATCTGTGATGCTGTATTAGAAACACAATCGTATCTGTCTCAGTTAGAGCTAACTACAAAACCTTGTTCGCTGTCCAATTGTGCATTCCAGTACTGTGTTTTGGTTTAAGGTCATTTAAAAATTTTTTTTTAAGTGAAAACCCCTCCAGTAACTTAAAAAATTATTATTAAATAAATATAACTTGATTGTCTTTTCCCCCCTTATGTAAAGCACTATAGCCCACTATGCTAACTGGTTGATCAAAGTGTCTTCTGTGGGTTCTAGAGTCTTCTGTGGCTTCTGCCTGAACTGGGCAGGTTTTGCTCCATCACTTTTTATGGTGATTTGATCTGCTGGCATGCTTCTCGTGAGAATTTCGTTCTGAACGTTGACGTGTGGGGAGCAAGGGACTTCTTAATCCCTTAGTTTGAACTTGCTCATTTACCCAGTTTATAATCTTTTCAAAAGTACAGATTTTGCATTTATTTAAAGATCAGTAATTGAATACTGCTTTATCGTTTGCAAAGGAACCTTTCATATACTCTTCAAATTTTTTTCTTTGAGTTATAGCATACATACAGAAAAGCACAAGCCAGGCATGATGTTTTATGCCTGCAATGCCAGTACTTGGGAGGCTGAGGCAGGAGGATTACCATGAGTTCAAGCCAGCCTGTGTTAATACCTTATCTTTCACCACCAAACAAACAAACAAAAAAGGTGCAGAATCCATAAATAAATTTTTACTTATTTGATCCTCACAATACTGTGAATATTTTCTTTTTAAATATTTCTCATTTTTATTTTATCTTTTCTGTATTTTTTCCTGCCTTATGATTTCCTTTATTTTTTTATAGTAACTTAAGATTTTCAAAAATCTAGTATTATCAGCTAGCATAGTTTTGAGTCTGAATTTTGATGGATTACATCCTGTGGCTGGTTCATGGGTACTGGCAGTTAGTGTATGTGTCTATGTATAACTTGTTCTCAAAATTAAGAGTATGTGCAGCAATCAGGCCCTTTGAGGAGAATGTGGGTTAATTTTGAGGCCCAATAAAGGAATTTCCATGTAACAAAAAGATACATTTTTGTGTGTGTGTATGTGAAATGGCATTGAACCTAAGGCCTTTCTTAGGCATGCAAGGCAAGTGTTCTACTACTGAGCCATATCCCAACTGCTGTTATCAGTATAATGGTGAGTTCCTGAATGTTTTCCACTGTGTCTGTACCAGTGTTTGAAATGAATTCTTCTATATTTGCAGCAGCAGATTTTAGTTTGTTTGACTGGTTTGCTGAAGAAGTTGCACCATAGATTCGATATATGTATGTTTCAGTGTCGGTGAGATTATTTTTATTTTCCCAAAGCCCCTATTTTAATGTTTCATCTAAGTGAGAAGTAGCAGTTCCCTCAAAAAGTGCTGTATGGTAGTATACCCGATATCCCTCCTGTCCAAGCATCATTTGTTCATTCAGAAGATATTCTGAGCACTCACACATGTAGTCAGCACAGTGACCAAGCCAGCCAAAGACTGCTGCCTTCTTGAAAGTGTTTTAGAGTATGAGAACCGTTGCGAGGGCTTGGGATGTCCGTTTCCTACTCCTGTTGGGTGTCTAGACTACTTTCCACACCTCCTTCTCTAGCTTTGTATGGGCAGAATACGTGACTAGTTCTCACTGGTAGAATGTGAACAGATGTGTGTCTTTTCCCAAGACAGTTAATGATTAGGCTGTCTTCTCTGCCCTCTGCTTCCTCACTTCAGAGGACTCCATTAGGATCCTGTGGAAGGTTAAGCTGTGGAGAGGAAAAAAAGTAACTGGACCTATCATGAATGGTGGATAGAGAGGAGCATGTGCCAACCCCTTTGCCTGAGATGGGGGTGAGATAAGAGCTGTGTTCTCATTGCTGTTGAGGTTGACACAGGATGATTAGAGGTTCAAGGCTACCTTGAGTAACTTAGCAAATGTCTGTCTCAAAATGAAATTGAAAAGGGCTGGAGATATAGCTCAGTGAGTAGAGAACTGGTATTTACAACTGGGTTCAGTTTCCAGCATACACACACACACACACACACACACACACACACACACACCAAAACAAAAAGAAAATCCCTTGTTTTAAATAAAGTTTTTATTTTCCCCATAGTACTTACTAGGAGTGGATCACTAGTAAAACCTTAAAAGTGTGTGGTGTTTATGCCTTTAATCCTAGCACTCAGGAAGCAGAGGCAAGTGGATCTCTGTGAGTTTGAGACCAGCCTGGTCTACAGAGTGAGTTTCGGGACAGCCAGAGCTACACAGAGAAACCCTGTCTCGAAAAAATAAAACAAAACCAAACAAAGAGTGTGGTGTTGGCTTGAGACACCAATGAACCGATAAGTCAGGTGATGGAGTAAAAAGAAATCACGTGACATGACCGTAACCAAATTAGTTAATTCATCATTCGGGGTACTTGAAAGTAGCTTCATACCAACTGAGCCCAGCGTTAGAAAGGATCACAGTGTGACTCTTTTGACAGTATAAAGTATCTCAGGAAAGAGATGGGCTTCAGAAAGTATCGACTGCTTTGTAAGTAAAGAGTAAGAGAAAATCGAGAAAGTCTTGACAACTGGGGCGGTGTAAGGAGAAAGAGGCTGGCTGTCTTAGACAGTGTTGGGTAAGAGATGAGTGTATTCATAAAGCCTAGTAGACTTACATAGTTGAAAAGACAAAGGGCCATCTGTAGAACTTCTGAGTGTAAGGTTGAGGTCCATGGAATCTACATGAGGACCGTTCTCACAGTGCCCCAAGAGAGTGTCTGTTGTATGGACAAGTCAGGACCTTGTTTCATGTGGCTTCTCGGTGGCTCCTGTTAGTTGACAGTGAGAGACGTGAGAAATATGTCAGCCCAGGAAAGAACTAGTTCCTGGCCACAGAACTAATGGGGAACAAGTAGATCAAAGGACCATTGTGTTTCTAGGGAGTCATGTTGGCAACGAATCCATAAGCCTGAACTGAAAAGACCTTTTATTATTTGAACTAGACAATCACTTTAGACAACCCAGAACTTGTTTCGATGCCAGTAAGGGGCAGGGATAGGTGGTGTATTATAAAGGTTGTGTATCCTCAGAAGAGGATGTGCTGTAGCACACTTGGTCACAGGGGATATTGGGGGAAAGAAGAGACTCACAGCCAGGTGTGGGGGTGCAAAGCTCTAACCCCAGCACTGGGGTAGAGAATAGGAAGTTTGAGGCCAGTCTGGGCTGCATGATACCTTGTCAAAACAAAGAAACCAAAACCGGAGGGAAAGAAAAAGACCAAGCACAAAGTTTCTGTTTCTGTCCCCCAGTGTATCTTGGGAGTGGGGGAAGGTGCAGATAACCCCCTTTCAGGTCATAGGTAGATAGCATCACTAGGAGCTGCATGTGGTCCAGAGGAAGACAGCACCATACACACCGTCTTATGTGCACTGACTAAATGAATGGCGGGTCTTCCGTCCTATGTCTGCTATGGGAGGAGTTGACTGTGTTGGGATACTTGGTGAGCAAAGTGGTCACAAAACCATGTTTTCCTTTCTACCGAGGCGTGTAACTCATATAGCTCATCTTCCTCACAGGCAGGTCCTTGTGGCCAGTCTCCAGTGGGTATTACATCTTAGGCAAGGCCATTTAAAGCAAGTCTGCCTCCTCCATCCTCATCGTCTTTATCCTCTCCTGCTGATACCCACTGACCTAACAGAAGTGTCTCCAAAGGAACTAGGTGAGGCAAGAGTCCTTAATGGAAGGCAGATGGGTACCTGAATGAATGGAACCCCTCTGCCGGTCTGCCTAGGACTCAGACATGAGCAAGAAATGAAGATACTAAATCAAGAGGATCGGGTTGAGGAGATTAGAGGCTGAGTACAGAGATCCCAGGGGCCTTGCTTGGAAAAGGCGGAGCGATGACTGCTGGGGAA